AGATATCTTTGTTGTATGGTGGATTCTGTCATTAAATCTCTGGAAAAAAAAACCCCAAAAAGTTATTTAAAAGAATATAAAAAGCAAGTTTTACTTAAATTATAGTTTATTAACTAACTTCTTCAACAGAACAAGAATTGGAAGAAGCCATGGCTGAAATATCTTCTAAACTTCCGTTAGCACTTGCCTTGTGCAATCTTACAACATTTTCCAGGGATTCAATATGAGATATATACAAATTCTTTGATGCAGAAACTTTTTTCTTTAATTCAGCAATAGCCTAAATCATAAAAACATATACATAATCAAAAAAGATAAACAAAACTAAACAAAACAAAAAACAAGTAACTTAATTTGATAAAAGTAGTGGAACCTTATCATTAATGTTGATGAAAGTGTGATAGAATTTTTCAATGCATTGAATCAGTTCATTTTGTTGAGATACAGAAGCAGCCACCATGTTGGAAAGAGAACCAATATCCCACATCATTCTCTTCCGACCTGACAACATGTATCTGCAAAACAAAATAGAGAAAATACATAATTGAAGAGATGTTTAATTTAAATACAATGTTGATACTAATCCCATTTCTAGAACCTAAAGGAAATAATATTCCAGTAAGATCAAAGGAGAAGACATACTCGGCTTTCGATATTAGACGTGACTTCATGCCTTTTATCCCATTAAGCAATTTTAGGACCTGTAAAATGAAACCAGTGAAAGCTGTTTCTCAAAAACCTCATAAGTAACGAAAATTGAAAAAAAATTAGCTACATTCAGAAACCAAGAATGTAATTTACTCTATACTTAATGAATATTGTAAAATTTTTTATTTGGAATGCAAGGGTAAAATGGCCATTTAGTCTCGTTCAAACGGTTAGTAGCCATTTAGTCTCGTTCATAAAATATTAATTAATTATAGAGTAAATTATAATTATAGAGTTATTTACATTTAGAAACCAAGGAAGGCCATGTTGATCACACACCACCAATCTGCATCATCATGTGGAGTTTGTAACAACTGAACAAATGCCAACAAAATATTAAAAAACAACTACATCAAGCAATGCAGGAGCCACTGCCATTGTTTCTCCATTGAGCAATTGTCATGCCATGAAAAACAACTAAACTAAAATAAGAATCCAACAACAAGATTCTATCAGCTGAAATTGATGCCACATCAAGCAATGCAGGAGAAGGAAGAGAGTTAAATGAATATGAAATTAAGGCTGAATCATCACAGTTGCATTTGTTATGCTTTCTCTATTTAACATCATCTGGAAATAAGCAGTTTCATCTGGACTATTATTAAACACCTGTCAACATTTCAGAAAATTAAAAACATATAACAAAAGGGCAATTCGGTAAATTAACAACTTAATCCATCTTTTTCACTGAACATCAAACAAACCAACCTCAAAAGTTCACCAACTGCAAGAAGAGAACCGTGTATGCTATGTACAAAAGCATTCTTCCCTAATCCATCTTGTGTAGCCTCAAACATACGATAATACCTGTTAACATCAACATATATAGATCATAAAATACTTACATAGTCACATAGCATTATAGGATTTGAAAAGATTTGAAGTCTTTGTGAATACACTAAGATACTAACCATTGCACACGCCAACGTGTCTCTCTTTTTTCAATAACACGAAGGAAAGCACGCAATGCCTCTACTGCCCTTTCCCTAACAGCTAATGTTGGATCCCTCAATGCCACCCAAATACAAACCGGATGATTGCTACTGCCCATAGGACTACCACATGAACATTGAAAATTGTAGAAGCATTAAGTAATGATTACAAAATACAAACCCGAAAGCGATGCTTTATGAGAAGAGTATGAGCATCTAAACCCTAAAAGAACTAGAAAGGATAGAACGAAAATCAAGCAAGAGCATAGGGGTACCTGAAGAGAAGAACAGAATCTTGTTCGAGCAAATGATGTTAGAGGGTTTCCTGATTGCAATTACGATGCATTTTTTAACAGAAAACAGTTATGCTTTCCAATTCCATATAGGATTGCCGTGCTTCGGCCTTTGAGCGTAACATTCGTGTTTGGGCCCATGTTTCCAGAAATTCAAGTATCCGCTTTTGGGCTTCTATAATATTTCATCAATACGGAAAGATGCTTAGAACAAATGAGAATTAGAAACGAACGAGAATCAAGATTTGCATTCCTATTGAGACTTGAGAGTATAATACTGAATTAGGGCTTTTCTGACAATTTCAACATCGAGTAGGAGATATGGTGGTTCCAGTGGGTAGAAGTAAGTAAGCCTTGATTGATGTCCTCCCTTTCTCTCGAACGCCTTTTGTATCCAACAGAGATTCCTTCATAACTTCCACTTACCGATGATGCTGATTATCATGGCCTTGCAAAACGATATCAACGGAGGTGAAGGGAACGCACAAAGAAACCCCTGTGAGAGAGAAAGAAAGATTCGATTTGAAGCAACCGACAAATGAAATTGAAAGGTAGAGGAATCGAGAACCCCTGCGGGTTTGATCTATTCAAAAGATGGGATCAGAGATTTGGTGATATTGCGATTTTATTGTGGGAGAAAAGAGGATTGGTGATGATATTAGGGTTTTTTTTGGGTATTAGAGTGAGAGAGATAGAAAAGAACAATGGAAAATTGTAGAGGATAACGATGGCGGCCTTTTAAACTTTTGGATTTTCGTTTCCCCCAGCTGATATTGCGATTTTCGTTTCCCCCTTCTAAAAAAGAAGAGAATGCGTCTTTCATTAAAAAAAATATAAAGCGACATTTCTAGACGACGCCCATTTTTAAATAAGTGACCTCCGTGTTTTTTAATTTTTTTTGTTGGACGTTAATTTCAGGGCACGCATAAAAGCGTGCCCTCTATCCTTCAAATTTTAGAAGAGATGACATTATTTTTAGAGCACACACTTTTGCGTATCGTAGATCACCGCGTGTCATTGTTTGCGCGTCATTAAAGGGTTGGTTTCTAGTAGTGTATCTCCTGCTTCTTCTTTTTTTATCAAAAGGTTCTTTGTTATTAATTTAACAGATTCCTCAACACTAATTTCAATCTTGCTTGCTGCCTTCCTACTTCTTTCAATTTTTAAATCTAACAGATACCATTAGGCGAATTTGTGTCTAGAGTTTACGATTTGGGTTTACATCCAACCTCACAATCTCTATTTCCACGCCCTTTTAAGCAACACCACAGGAAAACGTATCATATACGAATATAAGTTCTTATAGCTTTTCAAGAGAAAGTCGACAAACCACAAACTTTGTACCTTAAAGTCTTTAGATTTCTGCAATTTCTTATGTTTATTTCGTTTTTTATTGTAGATGGTCTTTCAAACTTTTGGGTTGATGCTATTTTTTTTTTTAATTAAAAGCAATGACAACACCAACCCCAGCAAAAACCGGTTTTCAGGTTTTGATTTCGCGTGTTTGGATTCTGTTACCAGGTATTTCTCATTTTCTTTGCTTCTTTATTCTTATTTGTTTCTAATGCATGCAATTTGTTTGTGAAAATGCCCAAGTGAAACAAATATTGTAACACCGTAAAATTTAAAACAAAATTTTCACATTTTTAAACACATTTTCCAAACACATTTATCAACAAAATGCCATTGTATCATAACTTTGTTTCACAAAATATTTCCCAAGATCAAAATACATAAAAATCCATGCGTGTGTACGAATCATGCCGACGCCTTCCCGCGATCATCACTGGTACCTGAAACACATAACACATAACACCATAAGCATAAAGCTTAGTGAGTTCCCCAAAATACCATACATAACACACACTAGCCATTCGAGGCTATAACTCTGTGGGACCATGGGCCCTAACTCTGTGGACCCTCTGGTCCTAACTCTGTGAACCTTTCGGTTCTAACTCTGATATACTCTGATATACACATGATATAAACCATATAGAAATAATGCAGTACAACACATCACATAATAGCATACAATAACTCTGTCATATATCTCTAATTACCACTCAAGGTAAAGTATAGTGAAAAGACTCACCTCGGATGTCCCGGTAAATCACTGACTCGGTAGATATACGATCTAGCCTCCGCCTAAAACACATAAAGTAATACTCTCATAAATATAACTCTCAGAACTAGACTCAACCCTCTCTAGGCACCCTCAGAAGGGTAAAAGACCATTTTACCCCTCTTTTGGCTCAAAGTCCCTCATTGTTGACCAAACCCTAAAAGTCAACCAAAGTCAACGGTCAAACTTTGACCCAACTCGTCGAGTGCACTTGGGCAACTCGGCGAGTCTATATGTTTCCACTAACTCTTTAGTCCCGTTTAACGTGTTGAGTCCCTCCCTTTACTCGACGAGTCCCCAGGTATGAATCGCGGGGCCACCCCGACTCAACTCGCTGAGTCTCAAGAACAACTTGGCGAGTACATGCCATGCACAAACTCCATTGACCTCTTGAGGTTAGATCTGTTCCTCTAATCCATAGATCTGGCCTTCCCAAGCATAATAATCACGTAAAGTCCAGACCTTGACACTCATATATCATCTAGATGGTCTCATTTGGTGATTTAGCCCCAAAAATGACATTCTAAGCTCATGACTCCCAAGATAACTCATAAAGCTCCAAGGGTTAAGGTCTCTGGACCTCTTTGAGTCTAGATCCAAAGCATACACTCGAGAAGGGACCAATTGCTCCACATAACCATCCTCAAAAGAGGTTAGAAAACCCTAACTCTAAGAACCAATACCAAAACTGAAGAAGGTCCGAATAAATACCTCAAGTTGAAGTCTATAGACTCTGAAACCACTAGAATCACACCTCCTTTAGTCTCCTCTTGCTCTTGATCACCTTCTTCTTGCTAAACCAAAGATAAAAAGATCAAATATAACTTCTCCTTCCTCCCAAACGATTTAGCTCACTTAGGGTTCTCTCAAGGGACTGGTAGCCGCAATGGGGGACTATGAGTGCCCTTAAATAGGCTCCAACCCCAGGGGATTAGGGTTTCATTAAACAGTGTGGACTCGCCGAGTCGACTAATGGACTCACCAAGTCCAGTCGCGAACCCGGATGAATTTCCGCGACCCTACTCGGCGAGTCTAAGCATCAACTCGCCGAGTTCCTTCACAAATTCCAAAAATAAAAATACTAGAATAGTATAACTGGGAATCCGGATGTTACAAATACCAGATTATGCAGTTCCCATTTACATTAATATTACTACAAAAACAAACGTTACAACCGATATCATAAGGACCTAGAATGTTGATCCCTTTCGTCGCCTCCGCTTCTTATCCTGACACATCTTCTACTTCCCTTCTACCTTTGTCCTCTGCACTTTCCACTCTGTCGCAACAACGCAACGAGGACAAAGGTAACTTTTTTAATTTACAAATTAGAGGTTCAATTATGTGTTTTCTTTTTTGGGTTAATTTTGTTTGTAGATCAATTTTACAACTGCAAAGGTAGGAGGATTTGAATGGGTTACTTGGAGATGTTGAGTATAGTTTTGGGAAGTGGAAAGAGTCAACAAGGTTACTACTTTTTGATGAGAAACATGCCTATAAGGCGTTCGATGAAATGCCTGATCCAATTAAGATATTAATTCCAGGCTAGTTTACCTAATTCATTAGTTGATTATAATTGTTCGATTAACCATTTTAAATGAATGAGGTATCTATTGTAGCTATTAGAAGTCCCAACTAAATTTACTTTTCCGCCCCTATGTTTCTGGACATTGAATTATGGAATGTTTTGAACCGTGTTTGTGAACGAACACAATTGTCATCAGGTAAGATGGTTTGGGGGGAGACGAAAGGCGAGGGAAGATAGGGAAGAGTGTAGGAGTAGGTTGATTCCACCATTTGTATTTGAATTTCACAGTTTTAATGTTTGTAACTGTTATTCATTTTCTTCTTTGTTCTTTTTAAGTTTTTAACACCATCTACTTGACAAGAATCCTCAACGAAAAATCTGGTCAAGATTGTGTTTGTACTTGGTGAATTGTATGATCAATCTCTTCTTTTACACCAAATTACAATCCTACCCTTCATAAGTTTTTCATTGAAGGATGCACTTGCAATTGCTAAAAAGCTCACTTCAAATCGAAAGGAACAATTGATCAAGGTACTTCCATTAATTTATTTTTCTTTTTTTGTATTCATGTTGTAAAATTTCTTTTTTTTTCTTGCAGCTTCATAAATATTTTCTTAATATGTGAGAATATAGTGACAAACTTAAAAGATGTGAGCACCAACTCCAGGTTAGTCTCTCTATTATTATTGTTTTTTCTACTTAATGCAAACAAAAAAACGCTATAGTTTTAAATGAGTTTTTGTGTATGCATGTTTGTGACTTTTTTCCTTATGAAATTAGTGTTATTGTTTTGTTATCCTGTTTGCAAATATTAATTTTGTTAAAGATGTTACAAATTCTTAATTATGTTTATTTTTAGACCAAAAAATGGAGAAACAATCTGAAGAATTGAGGGGCATATCCGGTAGATATGAACATGACAAGAAAGTTTGGGTGGTTGCGGTCAAGGAAGTAGGTATTGAAACCATACCACTCTCAGCTCTCTCTTCAAGCACATCATTGTGCTGAGTCAGTTCCTTCTTGATCTCAATAACATGGTTTCTGTAGTTCAAGCAATGGGTGGGTAAATTAGTAAATCCATGGTTAAATTTTCACCATATTGTAAGTTTTAACATTTTCTATCATTACTTTTAGTTGCACAGTGTGAGCATCTTAAAGTCAAATACAACAAAGAACAACTCAAGGGAAGAAAGCTTCATAATCAATTCGGGGATATAAAAGGTGTGCAAACTTTTTCTTTTTCTTTTTCTTTTTTTAAACAAACATATAAAGCTTCTAACTTTCTATAAATACTATTTTTTTTTATAGTTTTGATTCATCATCAGACAGACAATGCTTCACCATTAGTGGCTTTACTTTTCGATGGATACTATGGTGAAACAGAGACAGGAAAGACATTTACCATGGAGGGTATTAGGGGAAATCGACGGGTTAGTTATAGAACAATAGAATAATTATTCAAAATTGCAAAAGAAAGAATTCATACTTTTGCTTAGCAGTCGAACCTACAAATGATTATGCACAAGATTCACCATCAAAGTTGTCTTCTCCTGGGAGAACTACATGGGCCAAAACTCTGAAACTTCCACAACCTTTAGGGGGCACACAAGATGAATCTTCTTCATCTGAAAACACTCCAACAATGATAATGCGCATGGACGTTTCATCTTCACGAAAGTTGCCAAGTCTCGGGTGGTGTATTGATAAAGATTTATGTTGTGTTTATTTGGAAAAATTGCAGTTTTCCCACCCAACACCATGATCTACGAAAATCATATGCCATAGCCAGCATCCAATATCACTCCTACTATTTTGTAATCGAATGCCATGTAATGACCAGTATTTTTTTGTAATCCAATGGCATGTAACCATAAGTTCTTACCATTTTGTAATCTAATGTCATGTTAACTCCTCTCTTCATATATTTATCTGCTGAAAAAACATAACAACATAAACTTAAACAAATAAATTTTGTATACACATCATTTTGAAAACAACATCGACTCCTTCTGACCCCCGCGTAGCGGGGGTCACCTTTCTAGTTTGATATTAAAATGAAAACGAACTTATTTCTACATGTCATCGAACAAACTAAAATTGAAACTAGATGCCAAAAGGACAAATCACGATCAATAAACTATATTTGTAATAAATAAAAAAAGTGATTTATATTGTTAATTTTTATTTAGGGAAAATATGATGTCGATTCTATAAAGACATCCAACAAAGGCAAAACTGAAACAATAATAATGTGAATTATGCATTATTTTTTTTTTTTTTTTTGAATATGAGGTCATATGGAACATTAACAAAACAAAACACCCAACATACATATTTATTGTAATGCTAATTATTAAAATTTCAATAAAAACGTTGGGCTTGTATTTAGCCATTCAAGTTAATAACAAAAATGACCACAATCATAACAAATATGACCACAATTAGAGAGATTTTAGTTGACTGACAAACATTTTTATAAAGTAAATTAGTTGTCGAATAGAAATTATTTGCCACTTGTTAAAATAAATTATTCGTTGGATGTTGAAAAGAATCTAATCACCGGCTCTTGTATTTTCATCCCATGTTTTTTTATTCTGAAACAGCAAGCTGGGAAAAACATTTATCGTCGAAAGAAATTATCCCGCACGCCACATTGCGCGGGTATCCTACTAGTATATATATTGTAACATCCGGATTTTTACCAGGTATCTTGTAATCTAAAATTTGTTATATTGTGAGAGGGACTCGGCGAGTTGGAGCTCAGACTCGCCGACTAGGGACGCGGGATTGAACATTGGTGCGCGCCTGGACTCGGCGAGTCTGCGCTGTGTAATGAAACCCTAAATCTCCGGGTTTGAGGCCTATTTAAAGGGCCTTATGGCCGTCATTTGTGCTCACCCAACCCTCAGTGAGTGTCCCTAGAGTTCTTGAGCGATTTGTGAAGAGAAGAGAGCCATTCTTGATCTTGTGTGTGTTGTTTAGCAAGAAGAAGGAGACCCTAGGCAAAAGGAAGCAAAGGAGGTTGCTATTTCGTGGATTTGGAGCTTAGATCATCACTCTAGAGGTATTATTTCAGACCATTTTCTGTTTAGTGAAACTTGATGCAATTTAGGGCTTAATGTGGTCATTTATGGGGTGATTTGGTGCCCATTGGTTCCCTCTTTGAGTTGAGAGCATGGATCTGGATCCATAGAGGTCCAGAGGGCCTCACTCATCAAGCTTTATGGGTGATAATGGAGTCTTTGACCTTGTGTTGTAGTATTTGAGTCAAAAACATCATATATGGTCATATAGAGGTTGTATGTGCATCAAGATTCTGACTTTACGTGCTAAATGAGCTTGGAGGGACTGGATCTATGGATTAATGGACTGGATCTGACCTTTAGAGCAAGATTGAGTCAGTGCATGGCACGGACTCGCCGAGTCCGAAGAACAGACTCGACGAGTAGCATGAATGTTGCCCGACCACACAGCGAGTGGCCTCGCCGAGTTGGGAAGGGTGAACTCAGTGAGTCAAGGGGGGGAGACAGGATGGACAGGTGGACCGAGTCAAACTGGACTCACCGAGTTGTTCTTGAGACTCGGCGAGTTGAGTCGTGGTGGCCCCACAACTCGTGCCGGGTGGAACTCGTCGAGTTGAGGGAGATGCTCGACGTGTCAGGGGAGGGTTCCAGGGAAATTGGTGCATGCGCTCAGACTCGCCGAGTCGCTATAGTGCACTCGCCGAGTCCGGTCAAAGTTGACCGTTGACCGTTGACCAGCGTTGACCTAGATTGACTTGCTATAGTGTGGTCAACCCTAGTTGGGGAAGTGTTAATTAGAGATGTATTGTGCTATAGGGGGACTACAGCTCGGCAGATCGAGTGATTAGCGATTTCAGGTTTGCGATTTACCGAGACACGCGAGGTGAGTTTTCTCACTATACTTTACCTTGAGTTGGTAACCAGAGCTATGTGATAGAGTATTTGTATGCTATGTATGTTATGTGTTGTACTGCATGATTTCTATGTGATTTATGTGGTGCATGCTTATCAGAGTTAGAACCTGAGGGTTCACAGAGTTTGGGTGCACGGACCCACAAAGTTATAGCCTAGAGTGGCTAATATGTGATATATGTGGTATTTTGGGGAACTCACTAAGCCTTGTGCTTATAGTGTTGATGTTGTTTATTTTAGGTACTAGTGACGACCGCGGGAAGGCGCCGGCTTGATCCGTACACACACACGTTTGGAGCTTGACATTTTGATCTTGGGATTTTGTACTGTTTTGTTGAACAATTATGATGGTTGTTTTTTATGAATATTAATGGAATTATGTTTTTATAAAAATTAAAAAAATTGGTTTGAAATTTTCGGTGTTACATATATATATATATATATATATATATATATATATATATATATATATATATATATATATATATATATATATATATATATATATATATATATATAGGGAAAAGTGAATATACCCTTAAGGGTATATAAGCTTAGGTACCCAAACTCACCATAATACATCGTTTTGTTTGATATATTCATTATATTTTTCTTAAACATTAATCCCTAACTTGATTTACTTTCAAGATTTTTAAAATTTCACTATTATATTCCTTTTAAATCACATTTTTTTGCCGAACACCTTATAGGCTATATATATTATAGTTCAAAATGAAATTATGTAATAGAAAGATAAATATGAAATTTATAAAAATATTGGAACTAAATCAAGTTAGAAGTTGAATTATAACAATATTAGACAATTACAGTTTATATATATGATACAAAGGATGTAGTATGATGAGTTTGGTACCTAAGTTTATATACCCTTAAGGGTATATTCACTTTTCCCATATATATATATATATATATATATATATATATATATATATATATGTGTGTGTGTGTGTGTGTGTGTGTGTGTGTGTGTGTGTGTGTGTTTTGTTATATGATTTATTGAAGATATATAATAAAACTATATGTTTTTTAAGTGATAAACATGTATAATCACTAGGCCTTAGGTTTATCCATTTAGAAACTTTAAATGTGCGTAACCCAAGAAACTGTTTAGCTAGTGGCAAACAAAAGGATAAGGAGGATGATAAATTAAGAAGGCAACAAAGTAATTTCGTAAAGACATAACACCCGAAGTTGTTTAATTGAAGACTTTATTTTATTTTATCTTCTTTCCGTTGTAGTTTAGTCTATAAGTAAATTTAAAATTGATCTTGGGTGACGTTAGAACGATTATTTTGTTATATAATCTATATATGAAAATTGAGGTGTTACAATATATATATATATATTATATATATATATATATATATATATATATATATATATATATATATATATATATATATATATATATAAAGAGAGAGAGAGAGAGAGAGAGAGAGAAGAATAACAAAAGAAGAAAATTATAGAAATCAGTTAACCTTACGGTCAAAAAGATTACCGATTCAAGCCAGAAAATTAGTTTTTAAAATATTGTTTTTCCTTTAAATGTTTTTTTAGGAGAAAACAAAATCGGAAAACCTTAGGGTGCATTTAGTTGTGGAAAAATGAGCCGTTTTCCGGAAAATTTTTCCAAGAAAAATAAGAATTTTGAAAACGCGTTTAGTTCGTCTATTTTTCTAAATTTTTTCTCGGAAAATGAAAATTTTCCGTTTTCTAAAATTATAAAGAAGTTGAAAAATTTTGGAAAACTGATAATCATTGTTTTTCACATTTTTCTAATTCCAAAAATTTTCTATAAACACACACCCACTCTACCCCATCCACCTCTACCTACCCCCCCTATACACACACACACACACCCATCCACACACACACACACACTAACCCGCAAACACACACAAACACATACATACCCACTCACACATACACACACCAACCCACACACACACATACATACCCAACCACACAAACACACACACATACATACATACCCACACACACACACCCTAACCCGCACACACACACACACACTCGCACACACACACACACACACCAACCCACACACATACACATACATACCCACCCCCCCACACACACACACCTACCCACAAACACATACACAGACCCACCCACCCGCACACACACACACACACACCAACCTCCCCCCCCTTCCACACACACACACCCACCCACAAACACACACACATACACATACATACCCATCCCCACACCCACCCACAAACACACACACACACACCCACACACACCCACCTGCACACACACACATACCAACCCATAAACACACACACATACATACCCACCCATACACACACACACACCAACCCACACACACATACATACCCACCAACAAACACACACACATACATACATACCCCCACAAACACACACAAACACACACTCGCACCCCAACCACTCAACACCATCACGACAATCACCGACCTACCATCACCACCACCACCACTAACCCGTCACTAGCACCACCACCACCGTTGCCGTCTGTCATCACCACCACCGCCGCCGACCTACTACCGTCACCGCCCCCACCCACACCTTACCACCGCTACCGTTTTTTAAAAATGAAAACCGATAGAAAAATACACATCTAAACACGTTTTCTAATTTTCTAAAACTGAAAATGAAAAATGAATAAGTTTAACTAAACACGTTTTCTAAATTTTTCAATGAAAAATGAAAACGAAGAACGAAAATCGAAAAGGAACAACAAAAAACGAAAAATAAAAACTATTTTTCCGTAACTAAACGCAACCTTACTGTAAAAGAAGAC